AACAAGCATTACGCGCATGCATGCATGTGTTTCATTACAGGTAAATATGTCATTACCGATTCAAGAGACCGTGGAAAAAAAACAATTCAAGTTCAGTATCGTGAAAACGTAAAGGAATAAACACGAGACAAGCATTACCGCAAATGAACAGAATTAACCCATTGCGTAGCGAAAATCGTCTGGCGTTAGACAAGGTAAAAATAATGTTGGGCGCATTGCCACTTAAGGGTTAATGTACAGTATATTATTAAAATAAAATATATTACCGTGCAACTGTTTGCATACTATAGTCATTCTTATTATCATTGGCTACTTAATATTTAATTGAAACCTAGTATGAAACGTGAAAAGCAAAGCGATATAGACGAAGCAATTGACACGGTTCTAGAAGGTTTAGAAAACAGAAATGCAATGACGCTGAAACGTATATACTAAACCCAACCTATTTGAAATTTCTTATATATTATCAACTGCATGCAGTTGTTTATTTCGCCTCTCAATTTCGAATTCGGCTACTGTTTCTTTGCCATACTATAAGTCTTATAAGCTAAGCAATACAACCCTCTTTTCAAGTTTTATTTGTTTACTTCGCATAGTTTGCAGCGGTGTAACTTTACTTTTTTGATCACTTGCCCTCAGGGCAAGTTGCACATGACATTAGTTGCCCTGAATGAAATTCACTTGCCATCAGACAATGGCCACTGGGGTACCTAGGTAGGGGGTATAAATTAAGGGGACTATATGTCGACCAGTTCTCCCACTGCTCTATATATATATGGCTATGTTATACTGCCTCAATTTTGGCCCACAAAAAAACAAAATTTGAATCAAGTACATGCACTATAAGACATAACAATGAAAAAATAAACTTAATGATGCCTGGCAACACAATTTCTCGTTTTCCCAATTAAAATTTCCACTCGTGTTGATATATCAACACGGAAATGTTTTATATTGCTAAATGTCAATGACTTACCGGCTGGACCTCCAGGGTAGGTAGTCTGTCTCACTTTTTGTAAAAACTCTTCAAATTCTTGAGTGTCAAGATCGTGACTAAAGTCAAAGAAAATAAGAATTACGCGATCCGTGCAACTCAAAACTACAATAAACACTCGCTGAACTAAAATACTGTATCTGCATGTACATTCCATGTTGAAGGGTTTTGTAATCGGATATTTCGAGAATTCGAGTGTAAATTCTATACATTTATTTAGAGCAGGAGCAGCTGCTAAAAATGCAACTGCTATAGGTCTATATAAATATATAAAATTTTAGTTTAATTTAATAGAATTAGTTTAATTGAGCGAGATGCCAAAAATAATCCTCATGCAGATATTTATCTCCACGGTCATGTATATTGTACTGTATGCATTTTCAAAAAGTTCTATTGAAGTTGAATATTTTTTTGTTTTTGCAGAAATTAGTGAGTAATACTATTCTTCTCACTTAATTTTTTTATAGACAAACATGCAGTGGCAGATAAAAAAATTGTCTGCGAATATGCACATATATTGCACTTTTGATAATTGAAGCAAATGCTTTCGACAAACATTAGCGAACTTATAAGCAAGGTTTAATCTAGTACGGGAACGTGAGAAGAAACAGCCTTGAATTTTACACTTTTAAAACTGCTGTTTATTTATAACTACCTAGTACTACTGTTATTTGTAAGAACGTCATAGGCCGAACGAAACTGCAACGAGGACGGCTAATAATATCATATACTAATGCAATAAAATGAGCATAAATTAAGACTGAATTAAAATCCCATAAGGCGTGGTTTAAAAAATCAAAAATCAAGCAACTGATCCTCAGAAAATAATGTGTTGGCCTGAAACATTTTTAAGACTTACTCATCAAGTTCATCATCTTCATCTGACAACCAGGATGCAAATGCTGAATCGTCAAGAATTTTCTTCAAATTTTCATCTGTTTTGTTTTTACTACTTCCCTTTTCATGTTTGGTTTTTTCTTGCCTCGCTGCTCGCGAAGCCTCGCGTTTGGCCGCATAGAACTCCTAGAAGAGAACAAGATGCGTGAATTGCTTGACCTATAGTATACTGAAGAAACATCATCTGCCAAGGTACGTTATCCGCCGACGATCATCCAGGGCTCAAAATAACGGCTGGTCAACTGACAATGACCGGCCAAAAATGCCTCTTGACCGTTCACATTTTTACCTCACCGGTCATTTTGACCGGCCACATTTTCATGCCTTCCAATGTGATTGCTGACGTCTTGAATTAAAACATGAAACTATGATCTATCGAAACAAGTTTCTAATAGTTTGTTTCACTGTTAGTGTAAGCGTATCAATGACTGGATAAAATCAAGTTGACTGGTAATTTTGATCGGAGATCTATCTCCCGTTATTTTGAGCCATCTGTCTTAAGGCTGCAGCTTTCCAGTTAAACGTTTTCACATAAGCGTATATATACACCCACGGAAAAGTTTAAATCTTTCTAAATTCTAAGTAGAATTACTGCAACAAGTACACTTTAAATCATACACAAAACTTTTGTAAATGCCGTCCTTTTACTCATTTAAGCACTTCATAAGAAATATTTAACCATTTTTAACCAAATATTTAAACTTTTCCAAGCGTGTATACATGCAGCTATTTCAATTAAGGTTGTCCGCGAGCAAAGCGGAAAAGTCGAATACGAGCGCGAAATGCTTGCTGGGAATCGCTAAAAAATTAAGGAATTTTTTAGCGATTCCCAGCAAGCCTTTCGCGCTCGTATTCGACTTTTCCGCTCAACCTTAATTGAAATAACTGTATACAGCTATTTCAATTGAGGTTGTCCCCCGAGCAAAGCGGAAAAGTCGAATACGAGCGCGAAAGGCTGCTGGGAATCGCTAATAAATTCATTCATTTATTAGCGATTCCCAGCAGCCTTTCGCGCTCGTAGTCGACTTTCCGCTTTGCTCGGGGGACAACCTTAATTGAAATAGCTGTATACACACGTAGAGCCTTTGGTATAACACAAGATGAACAATCCATAGTAACTATACTGAATCAGTATAGCTGAATGGGTTTTTGTAGTTGGAACAAACATTTGTATACACTTCAGACCTGCGATTCCGGTTAGCGCTACTCACCTCCTCTTGCTGGCGTAGATCTTCCTCGTGCATTTGTAACTAAAAGTACGAAGAAATGTATATTAACGCAATTTATGCTAAGCTGATGATAGAGTCCACGGTGAATAAAATCATTGCAAACATGGCCTGAAATTACGGACATGATTATTCTACTTCCTTACTAATTTGCGTATCATCGATGCAAAACCCGTTGAAATATGGCTTCTGCAGTGAACAGTAAATTATATTACGTAGATATGCATGCTGTATGTAAATCGCAACCGTTCGGAGAATACGGTAGGTCGTTTGCAATTTGCCTCATTGCTCGTGGAGTCGTGGTAGAACATAGTTTGTAGTAATATTTAGTGTAATGTTTGCCTGGTTTAAGTTATTGCCTATTTTGCATTTTCGTTTGTTCCTAGTGGCTACTAGTGCGGTATTCTTATTCTTATATACACTGCACAGTTAAATAGACAAATGTCGTAAAAACTAATTACCTCTGTACAAATGTTGAAAATGCAGAATAGGCAATAACTGAAATCAGACCAACATTACACTACGTACTTCGACAGACTTTGTTTTGCAGCCAGTGATTGAAGCAACTTGCAAACGACCTACTTCAGTTTTCTGTTTATGGTGTTCAGGGCCGTTCCTAGACGCGATAATTGGGGGGGGGGGGGGG